GGTGGGTCCCTGAGGGCTGTGTGGGGTTGGGGTGGGGGTTAGTGCATCCCGCCTGGACAGCCAGTGCCGGCCTGCTCTGAGGGTGAACCTCGTCTGCCAGGCGCGTGGGCTGGGCACGGGCTGGGCCGCCCTCGCCCTCGGTGCTGAGCGCTGGGAGGGGGAGAGGGGAAGGAGCGGGGAGGATGGGGGAGCTGGCTCCCCAGGAATTTCCTGAGGCAGCTCCAGGGCTGGCTGTTTGGATCTGAGTGGCTGGGTGGCGGGTTCTGCTCCCACCCTCCCGCCCTCCCCGCGTGTCCCGGCCCCCGTGCATTCTTGGAATCCGAATGCTGCGCTGTGCTCTGTGGCACCGGGAGTTTCCTTTGAAAGCCTGTGGCACCAACATCTGTTAGCTCTTAGAGAACAGGAAGATTGACAGAGCGCTGCTGGGCCAGGCAGTGGGGGAAGATATTAAGCTCAGGAGTATGAAGGCTCAAAGACAAAGAGGAAAAACCCCAGCCCCACTCCGGCCCGCTCCCCGAGGCCCTGCCTTGATGTGGTTTTCCGTCCGAGAGGCCTTATAAGGCATTGTGCCTGGCTGCTGGGCTGGGGCTGGCCACGCTCTCCCCAGCCAGCCGGGCTTGCTGGGGCCCAGCGGGGAGGCAGGGGAGGGGTCAGGTCTGCCTACCGAGCCAGCTCACTGGCAGAGGGCAGCCTGGGCCGGGTGGGCAGGAGCCCTGGGGTACCTTCTTGGGGGATCCAGGAAGGTCTTTGATTAGAACTTGGAGTGCAGGCTGCAGAGGGCTGGTCTGGAGGCCAGAGGACGTGGTAGCTGGTAGCAGGGAACAGGCGATGGCTTAGCAGACAGAGCGCTTCAGGGGGTGCGGGCATGGCACCCCAAGATCCCCACTCTGGCTGCCAACTGGGGGGGAGGGGCGGGGTAAAGAGTGGGGCCTGGAGGCAACACCTTCAGGCCTGGCTCTGTCTCTCCCACTATGGACACTTCTCCTAAGCACTCTGGCTGGGCCTCTGTTTCCTCATCTGTGTAAAGTGGGAGGTATTAATGATCCTGTGTCAAAGGGCAGCCACAGAGGTTAAATGCCAAGTCCTACAAGCAGTGACCTGGGCAGAAGGGAGCATGTTTCCAGCTTCCTGGGAGGCATATTGGCCTGGGGTGCCTGTCAGCTTCCTACAAGGCTTAGGCAGCAGCTGACACACACTAATGTCTGATCAGATCAGTGACACCCTGTGACAGAACTCCTGTCATGGATAGTGACCCCTGAGCTGGTAACCCCCATCCGTGGACAGTGACCCCTTAGACAGTATCTCCTGTGGACAGTGTCCCCCTGAGACAGTAACCCTCATCCATGGACAGTGACCCCTTAGATAGAACCTCCTGTGGATAGTGACCCCCTGAGCTGGTAACCCCTGTGCATGGACAGTAACCCCTGAGCTGGTAACCCCCATCCGTGGACAGTGACCCCTTAGACAGTATCTCCTGTGGACAGTGTCCCCCTGAGACAGTAACCCTCATCCATGGACAGTGACCCCTTAGATAGAACCTCCTGTGGATAGTGACCCCCTGAGCTGATAACCCCTGTGCATGGACAGTAACCCTTGAGCTGGTAACCCCCATCTGTGGACAGTATCTCCTAGGGATAGTGACCCCTGAGCTGATAATCCCTATCCGTGGACAGTGACCCCTGATCCATGCATGGAGTGAGCATGAGGAGGGATCAACATGCTCTGTCCTTGTATGTGTGATTCACATTATCCTCTCAGCCACCCTTTGTAGCTAAGCATCAGCATCCTTCACGATAGATGGAGAAACTGAGGCATGATACTTCCTCTCTGGATTAATGCTGGTGTAAGGGCCACAGCCAGAACTATATAAGCCACAGTCGAAGCCGGTGCCATTTCCCTGCAAGCCTCTGTGCTGGGTGCCCTGTGAGGGCTTGGCTTGGGTGTGGGGCCCAGTCCCAGGTTAGTGTTGGAGATGATGAGGGGCCCTTTGCGGCCCGCTGCACACACCAGAGCATGTGGCCCTGAGAGCTGGTGGGCAGCCAGATTTCTGCGCTTCCTTCTGCACAGTCCCTGAGGGGCCACACCAGTGCTCCGCCTGGCTGGCCGCAGAGCCCTCAGGATTCCTGCTTCTGTGGTACAGGACAGTGGCATGGGTCAGTGGCACCAATTTGGCACAGGCAGTCACTGCTTTGGGGTCAGACCCCGCAGTTCTCATGGAGACTCATCCTCGGTTACCCCTGAAACTGTTGGAAACCTTCTCCGAGGTTCTTGTGACCACCCATTTGGGCAGGTACCATGAATAGTCGGAACAAGAGGCAAAAAGCAAGATGAGCATTAGCATGATTTTCTGGTTCCTGACAGTCCCAAGGAATGAGGCTATGAAGGAAACAAACAAACAAAAAACGATGAAGATGATACCTTAAACAGGCCAGGAGGACTGGTCAATGGTTGGAAATTACCACATGGGTATGAGGGGTGGAGAGTAGCTAAGATAGAGGAGGGTCCATTATGACATTAGTTGGAAATGGTCTCTCTGGACAAGAACTGAGTGTTGAAAGCAGCTAAAGGGACATACATGATAACCTTTCAGCATCTGTATTGCATACTGTAATCACTTGCTCACTTCTGTGCTCGTTTTAAGGAACTCGGATCGCTCATAGACTGGAAAGGGTAGGGCTGCAGGGGAGGGTCTGGGGGGTTCTGTCTGTGCCTTCCAGAGCACCAGTCTTTCTACTATTGTGGGTGCTCAGGGGCCCATTTGGCAGAGGTGGAGAGTGAGGTCCCAGGAAGGCAGTGGCTGGCCCCGGGACCAAGGATGAGGAAGTCCAGGGGCTAGACAGGATCCTGATCGAGGCTCAGTATGCCCATTTGTGCCTTCAGTTGAATGATTGATTCATAGTTGGAGGTATGAGCCAGACCCTGGCTGCAGGCCCAGCAGAGGGCATGTGTCAGCTCAGCGGGGGGCTCAGGAGCATCCAGAGGCTTCTTGGGAGCAGGGCCAGGTGTCATGGGAAGAGCTGACCCCAGGCCATGCCCGGCACTTGCTTTGGTATGTGGTGGGTTTGGTCCGCTGGAGCATTTGCGTACGGCCAGCCAGGCTTGTCCAAGAACTCCTGTACGAGTGCTCTGGTGGGGAGATGGTTGCAGTCTTTGTGCTCCTCCCCATGTTCCAGTGAAAAGGAGTGGTCAGCGCATGGCCTCTGCCAGCACAGTGCCCGTCAGCTCAACCACCCGCCCATGCTCCCTGGCGGCCTTTAGGGGCAGGCAGCCCCGACTTCCTCCTGCAGGAGTGAAGGGCTCTAAATGAACTTCCAGGCCACACGGCCACCTAAGGATGCTTCCCACAACCTCCCCTCCTGCTCCCCTGTCAATCTTTCGCTCTGTAACACAAGCCAGTGTGCATTTGGGCAGGCACTCCCCTATGGGCTCTCTCTGGCACAGAGGGGAGGGGAGCAGGGACTTCCCAGGAGCAAGTAGCCGGTTTTGAAGTCACTGGGACACGGGCACGGGCACGGGCAGCCTGAATGGCTATGTCGGAACCGCCTCGGAGAAAATGTGTGATGCCCCAGAATGATTTGAAAGAAGAAAGAGAACAGAGATGACCAGCCCTAATCCATAAAATCTCAGTTGTTTATCTTGGGGAGAAAGAGAGCGACGCACCTCCAGCTGCGTGCGGTGGATAAGATCAGCGAGGCAAGGCATTGTTTTTCTTTGGTTAATCAAGAGGGGCACGGTTTCTCTTTCAAGCTGTCGAGGGGCGGGATTTTTTTTTTCCCTTCTAATTTCCAAGGAGAGAGTGTGCTTTTCTTTTTCTTTTCTCTTAAAAAAAATGAAAAGAAAAAAAGAAAGAAAAGGAGAGAGAGAGAAGCCGATGACAGCTGGTGAATTTGGGCTTTTATTGCTCCTCGTTTTGTGGTTTCAGAAGCCCTGCCTAGCAAGCATCAATCATTAGGGGCATCCGGAGAGATAAGGCAGATGACACCCCCCCACACCCCACACGCACACACAAAGTTTCCTCTCACCCCAAAGAGGACTATTCCCCAAGGGGGAAGGTTCTTCTGAACATGCATCCCTTGGGATGTTGTTGGAAAACCAAACTTTTGGGTTGGAAATACACAGCATCACCCTCTGCCCGGGGGCGGCTCTGTGCCCATTCCGTGGCACACCCTGCAGGAAGGAGCTGGTCTAACTTGCTTTCAAAGCAATCTGAGTGCATCACAGAACTCTTCTTGGCAGGATACCAGCAAATCCAGAAGACAAGCCCTGGCCTCGCTTGGGCCCTATCTAGAGTCATCTTGCGGGGTGGGGTCAGTTAGCTGAGATCTTGGTTTGACATCCTAGAAGTTTCCCAGTCTTTGGACCGGCCAACCCCTCCTGGGGGCCTTAATGGGCTGCTCTGGGGGGATGATGAACCAGATGCTTCTACTTCATACACCATCCAGGCTTGTGCAAGGAGCATCCTCATTCTGGAGGTAGGAATGAGATCGTGGAACCAGAAAGTGGAGGCTCCTTGAACTCTTGGCTATGTTCAGAACTGTTCTCCTAAAGCCCGCAGTCCCGAGAGCTTCTTACACCTGCCCCAGCCCGTTCCGAGCCCATGTCTGTAAGACCCTTGGTTGGGGGAGGGATCCACGTTGAAGTCCCTCTTGGGGCCCAGGCTTATTGGTCCTAAGATCTTTGATAGGTTCAGAGGGAGGGATCTCTTCCGACCTCATCTGTGTCATTTCCTAAGGCGGAGGGTAGAACTTCCTCTCGGAGGCTTTCCTCCTCTGTCACGTTTTGTGGTGGACTGAGGAAACCTTAACTTCCTCGAAAGCACCACTTTCCAGTGTGGTCACATCCACCTTGTTCGCCCTGAATTCTCATCAGAAGAGTCAGAATCCAGTCACCGCGTCCCGGTGGCCTGCTCGCCTCAGGTGCCCAAGGCCACATTTCACGTCCCAAATCCTGGTGGCGGCCTGACCCCAGCACTTGCTTAATGTCCCTGCTTCTTCTTCTAGGAGCTCTTGGGCGAAGTTTTCAGAGAAACACTCAGTGAGGAAGAAGAGGAAGACTTCCGGCTAGAAGGTACTGGAGTCCCATTGCTTTCTTCCTGGGGACAGGGTAGAGGTCCAGGGGCTGTCTGGTGTACCATGTGCCTCATGTTCCTTCCAGAAAATTCCACAGCTCAACAGGAGAACAGAACGGAGACTCCTGTAGGAGTGCAAGGGCGGGTGAGGTGTGAGAGGGAAGCTTAGTTCTTACCATGGCTAAGTCTGCTGTGGGGCCGGACCCCCTGGGTCACATCCTAGAACCCTGATAGCTAGTCTTATCTTCCCTTCCCTTCTGGGGGTACTTAGAGTTGACACTCATAGCCCTGCATGTTGAGTTAGTGGTGTAGGAAGCACTGCACAAAGGGCTTGCACTCTCCCTTTGCTCCATCCAGACCTCCACCAGAGCTCCAGCTTATGTGCAGATGATACACACACACACACACACACACACACACACACAAACGCACACCATGGGCCCCTCTCCTCTGCAGCTCCTCTTCCTTTTTGCAAGGGGCAATACCAGTGGAGAGGACCTTTGGCCACTGGTGCGCTCATCAGCATGGAGGCAAGCCAGGACACCTCTCAGAGCCTTTCTTTCCACATTGGCACAGTGGGACTATGGGCCCTCTCCCTCCCTGGCTCCCTGAATTCGCTCAAGAACCAGGGGACAGCTGGAAGCCTTTGCGAAGTGAGATGTTGTTTCTGCTCTTTGGCTCACCCACAGAGGCAGGAATCGCTGAACTGGGGCAACCCTAGGGACAGCAGAGCCCTGTTGGTGAGGTGAGGGTAGGCAAGTCGAGAGTTCACATCCCGCTCCTGGACCACCAAGCAAGTCTCTTGAAATGGTGTTTCTCCAAGAGCAATGTACAGACACATCCCCTGGAAGCTTATTATGAAGTAGAGTGGATCTGGCAAACCAGGATGGGGTTTGTTGAATTCAACAGTTCAGCCACTGGTGGCCTCTGTTTCCCTAGAAAGCCTCCCAGGACCAGACACTGGACTCTGTTGTTAAGTGGACAGTAGTTGTCTGGACAGTAGAGTTTCCTTTTCAGGCCCTGTACAATCCCCAAGGCCTAGATGCTCCCCCAGAGATCTTAAGGCCCCAGCAGAGGCCCCAGGAACTTGTCCCATTTTGCAGAAATCTGAGGATGTCCCACATCCATGGGAGGGGCCCATGAGGACTGGGCCCAGGTGGCCACAGATTTCCTTTGGGTCTGTCTGCTTGTGTGAACCCAGGAGCTGCTCTCAGGGGCTCGGGGGCTTTGATTCCCCAAAGCCTCATCTTGCAATCTTGGAAAGATGCCTTGATTTGGCCTCCATAAAAGGTCAGGAAAGTCAGGTCTGCGGGCCTTGGAGTCAAGGGATCCCAGGTTTGGGTCACATGGGTTTCAGCACCCACTCCATTTCTTTGTCCATTGGCTCATTTGCCTCATTTGCATTGTGGTTTATTAGCTTATTGCTTTTTCTCTTTTCTATCGATCCCTTCATCCAGTCCATTCTTCACCCATTCACTGTCCACCCAAACCCTCACCCACTAACCCAAGATCCAGCCTTCCCACTATCTTATCCATCCATCCATCCATCCATCCATCCATCCATCCATTTGTAATGCCACCACTCACCCACTAACCCAAGACCCAGCCTTCCCCCTGTCCCATTCATCCATCCATCATCCATCCATCCATCCATCCATCCATCCATCCATCCATCCATATACCCACTCACCCATCCATCTATCCATCCATTACACCATCACTCATCATCCTTTCCTGGTCACTCACTTCCTACTTTATGTGACCCATCCTTCAGCATGCCTGCCCTCTCCCATCATGCTGCTGTCCTCTACTTTCTGTCCTTCCTTCCTTCCTTCCTTCCTTCCTTCCTTCCTTCCTTCCTTCCTTCCTTCCATCCACTCTCGCCTTCATCCATTCACCCAACCCTGTCCTCTTGACCCCTCTCTATTAGTTTCTGAATCTCTGGCAACTCCTATTGCCCCCCAACTTTCTGTTTCTGAGGGACAGTCTGAAATCCATGGTTGATTTCAAATCACTTGTCACCCGCCCTTGGAGTCCAGTCACTCTGAAGGGGACTTTGCTCCTGATCTGTGTCCAGAGTGTGACCTGTGTGCGAAGAATAGAAGAATCCCCAGCCCACCTCCCCTTCCTCTCTGCCAGGGACTTTCAGTGGGCATGGGTTGGGTCCTCTCCCGGCTCCCGCTGTCACATGACAAACAGGGACATGGAGCTGGACTCTGGGTGTCCAGAGAAGGTGGGAACCTGGTGTTGTGGGGCATGACACAAACACTGTGACAGTGGGAGTAAATCTGAGGTGGCCCAAGGGACCCACTGCCTACCTGGGAAGGGACACTGGTGGTGCTGTGGATGACCCAGATGTTTTGTCAACCACTACTGTGTCCTGGCACATCCGTTCCACCACTGTCAACCCTTGGTCTTAAGTAGCTCTAGCCTGCATCCAGGGGTTGGCCCGGGTTGTTTGGGGGGGGGGGATGGTTATTCACTGCACCTTCCTTTAAACAAAAATTTACCCAGATACCCTGCACGCCCAGCTAATTCACAGGAAGGTGCAGGAGGTTGGAAACAGGGTGCCTGTATTTCCTTGGATATGTGTGTCTACACCACAGATACAAATTCTGTCATAACTGGAGGCAGGGACAGGCAAAATCAATAGTTCCTTCCGTTTATGGGAAGAGGAGGCTGAAATGGGAAAGACAGGTTGGAGACCTGTAGTTTTTTTTTATTTCATTTATTCAATGATTTTTATTTATATTCATACATCTTATTGAGACCACCTGGTTTATAATTAAAGTGAAAAATTTGTTATTATATATTAACCTATGTGTGAAATTATAAACTGGGTCCATATAATAAACATATATGTTATCCCCAACTTTCCTTTTTTCCCCTAAGTTTCCATATTACCTTCCTACTCCAGCTTTTCCTCCATCAGCTCTGATAGACTTACTCTCATTCTAGGTTTGTTTGTAGTTCTTAGAATTTTATATTGCATTGTTGGGGCGGGCGGGAGGGTTTGGGATTTGGGGCTTAGGGCCACATCTGGTGGTACTCAGGAACCACATCCAATTTGATGCTGAAGGATCACCACCCATCACCCTCAGGGGACCATGGAGTGGGAGGCCTGTCGTTTTAACTGTGATTATTGTTTTAGCTTTACAACCAGAGGGTAATCGTATGTTTCTTGTGAAGTGAAGGGCTAATGGCAGGATTCCACTGCAGAGCCCACAGTCACGAAAGCAGGCTGAGGAGTCCTCTGGTTTGAGATAGGCCAGTGGGCATGGCCCGAGGACTCTGAGGAGGGATGCTGGGCCCAGTGACCATGGGCACGGGGTCTCAGGTCAGGGATGGAGCACGTGGCAGTGCATGAGAGGCCTCCAGGCTGGGAGGGCAGGTGATGCTTGCTGAGCCCGCCCCTCCCCCCAAAAGAGCACCCACCCCACCCTCCGCAGTGTTTCTAGCCAAGGGAGGCCAAACTGAGTCCTGAATCTCTTCTTTGTCTTCCTCTTGGCCAAGTTCATTGCCTCTTGGAGGGTTGGAGGGCTGTTTAAGGGAGAAAAAAGGCCATCTGAGGCGTGAAGATAAAAAGAAGTCTTTTAGCCATCCCGGGAGAGGATGGCTTTAGCTCCTGCGTTGTTATGTAAAGCCGGCCCTAATCCAGCGTCTTAACCGCCTTAACTGGCCAGCTGGGAGCACGCGGGCTGGGAGATTAAGGCTGGGTTTGGGGCTCAGCTCGGGCTGGGGCCCCCAAGCTGCTTTTGAACTGTGGAAAGAACAAAGTAAACATCAAACGTCCCAGCTCTGAGCGCTTGGCTGGGCGTGGCAGGGGTGGGACTTGCGGTCTTCTAGGGAGAAGAGGACTGAGCTCTCTTGGCCCCCCGCAAGGGTCTGAGGACCGAGGAGGAGGTTCTGCCCCTCTCTCTGCCCAGCACCCACCTGCCGCCCTCCCATCCCTTGCCTCCCCATGCGGGCAGGATGGCACCTGGTGACAGCCCCAGCTTGTGGTCTGGGGGCCATGGCAGGAAGGACAGAGAGTTGCTTTCAAGCATCCTCAGCGCTCTTCTCTCTCCATCTCTGAGTGCTACCCACCAGTCCTCCTCAGGACTCACTCCTGCCTCCCACCCTGCTTCCTTTTTCTCACCAATCCTGATGGTGTTGTCCCCCCACCTCCCAGAAGGTTCTAGAAAGCAGCTTCCGGGAAGCTCAGCCCGGCAGCAGGTCTGGCCCCATGGAGGATCTGGTGAGGCAGCCTCCCTGCATCAGAGAGCTGTCAGGACCTGCCTGGGGACCCCTCTCCTTAGCCTACGGCCCTGATGGTGCCATCCCATTACCTCCCAGAAACTTCTAGAAAGCAGCTTTCGGGGAGTTCAGCCTCCCTGCATGGGGGAGCTGTTAGGACCTGCCAGGGACTCCTCTCTTTAGCCTAGGGCCCCGATGGTGCCATCCACCTACCTCCCAGAAACTTCTAGAAAGCAGCTTCTGGGGAGCTCAACCTGCCTGCATGGGGGAGCTGTCAGGACCTGCCGGGGACCCCTCTCCCTCACCTAGGGTGGATGTGCTATTTGGAGCTGCAGGTCCTTCCAGGCATAGGACAGTGGGATTGGGGCTGGGTTGGGGCATGGCCGGGGGCACTCACCAGAGCCAACCTTGGTCGGGGGTGAGTAGGTGCTCAAACCCCTCCCCCATTAGTTCCTCCACTCCCTCCCCCTTTTCTCCTGAGTTCTGGGGAAACAGCAAAGTAGACTTCACTTCCAGTCTCACTCTCACCCCTCTTTGATCCCCGGCACCCAACCTAGGGTCCCCCCAAGCTCCACCAGGTCAGGGATCTCTGAGCACAGAGCCAGGAGGATCCCCGAGTACCACCAGGTGTGTCCCAAACCACCACCACCACCACTACAACAACAACAACAACAAAAACTTCATCACGATTCACTGTGTGACCTGAAATAGGTCACAGAGCTCCTGTGCCCACTGGGGACACATCCTGCTTAGGGGTGCTCCT